AATTTTTGAACAAGCAAACAAACAAAACTGAAAGTATAGAATACGCGTTGGGAGAAAACTTTTCAAACGTATGTGTTTTTCAAATGTTTTTATACCAGATAAGCTTAAGTTATACTGCATCTCGAAATGTGTTCACAGCTCGACACTTTGTCTCGATTTGTGTCACAAATTTTCTCGATGCAATAGATAGCTGTTGTTTGTTTTTAAGGTTTGCAATTATTTTTAAGGTTTGCAATTAGAGTTTTTTATCTTTTCCGAGCGATTCAGGCATATTTATTCTGCAAAAGTTAAAAATACCCGCCTTGCACAGAAAAAATAAATCAAATAAAGCATTTGGGGGCAACCGCCTAGCAGTTTGTGTGTATGTTTGAGAAGTTAAAATTGCTTCATTTTTTCACGAACGCTAATCGATTGTCTTTGCGCGTAAAGCATTTTTTGCCACAAAAATTAAAGCAGGATTTTGCAAAATAAATTATAAAGATGCATAATAGTCTGAAGAATCTTGTAAGATTTTTGCAAGAAGTTGCAAGATAACGTTCCCTATTCTTCTAAAGGAAATGCGATTACTAATTTACGCTTATATTTGACTGACGTCGTAATCATCAACTCGAGTGGCCAGAGCAAGGTTTTGTGAATAAAAAAGAAGTTTTTTACGCTAAAAAATCAAGGCTGTAGATTGTTAAAACGGGTTTTTAGAAAGTTTGGAATTAGCCCTTCTCTCAGATTGTCATTTAGAAACATTTTGCGATCATTTAATTTCACTAGATTAGAACAGGCAAAGTTTCACTCAATAAAGAAAAACAAGAGCCAAATTCACATCAGCATATCCACGCAACATGAAACTACAGATATCGTTGATACTTTTTTGTTTATTATTTTATGCAATGCAATTCGTTTTTGACAATCCACCCATTTAACATATCATGTCAAACAAAAACCATTTTTCATAAAATGAAACTTCTGGGTTGCTTGAGAGCGTTTTAAAAAGTATTGCAGTACAGAAGAATGAGAAAAAGTTCAATTTTGCAATCAAATTCAAGCGCGTTTTCTGAAAAACTATCGAAAACCGCAAAAAGACATCCCAGGCCCCATGTGAACAATCTATTTCCAAAATAGACCAAGTTAACCTTCTCCTCCCTAAAATTAATTGGCAAGTTTAAGCAGTAAGACATAAAATTACCATGTTCAAATATGATTGGCTGAAAAGTATTACTTTTTAAACGAGTGAATTTTCCTTCCTAGATTGATTTAGAATGAATTTGTTCACATGGCCTCATCCTAGTTTTTATTTAAAACTGGAATGTTGTTTTTGCTTTTAATTGACAATAAAATTTAGAAAAAAAAATGAAAACCATGTTGCTAAAAATAATTTATAAAAATATAATATGGTAGTGTCTTCATCACTAACCAGAAGGTTTGATTGACAGTAATTTGAAAAAATTAGAACAATTTAAAAAAGAAGAAATTGAAACAAGGTAAGCCGGTTACTGTGCAGGTAGCACAGAATATTCCGACCGAAGTCTTAAATAAATACAAAAAAATTTTTCATATTAGTGTCCTTTTTATTCGGCGTGTTGTGACAAAAGAAGCTGAATGAAAATCTTGAAACAATCATATTCGACAGTCATATTATAATTAACAAATTGAAAAAAAAAATTGCAGAAAAATGAAAAAAATGAAAAACGAAAAAAAATCAAGAGTTTCAAAAATTTTTTCAATTTTCTTGCAGTTTTTTGAATTTGTGAAGTTCTTAATTCCAAAAAAGGTCTAGAATACTCAAAAAAATTAACGTTACTCGAGTAAAACTAAGTTTTTTACGTTTTATATTGAGCTATTGTAAGCGGTTAAGCCATTAAAAAACTATTGTAAGTTTCGCTTTATTCGCTCGAATTAAGACCTAAAAACCAAAAATTTCAAACTGTTTTCTCTCGACACTGAAAACTTGTTTGATATTTTTAAGAGTTGTTCGAATCATGACTGAAAGGGCTTTTATATGATATATTACTCAACTCTCTTTGATGATTATTTGTGGTAGCTGATTTTGCGTGGAACAAAAAGCTAAAACTTTCTCGAATGCAAAGTTCCTTCCATTTTTCAAATGATCGGAACAAAAATGTGACGAGAAGGCAAATCAGAAACAAAATTTTAAAAAAGACGAAATTGTTTTTTTTTTCAATTTTTTGAAAAAGATTGATTCAGAAAATTTACTTTAACTTGCATTTAAAGCAAACAAAAAAAATCAACCACGAGGGGTCAATCTGGCTTTTTAAATTATACCAAACTCGATACTCTTTTCTGTTGCCAATATTGACAACTTTTATTTATTATTTTATTTTTGCCCTTTAATCTTCTGAGGGCGAAATCTACTCTTTGCCTAATTCAGCCAGCCCAAAGAGGGCCTAGATCGCAACAGTGGGCAAATTTGGATGCGACTATGGTTGAAGTAATATGAGGCCCAGGGCAGCTAGAAAGTAATCCCCTGAAACAGTGGAAAACTCAAAACAACTCGATAGCTTGTATTATGGACTGACGGCGATAGAGAGCCCAGTGAATAGCCGTACATACAGAGTCGACACGCCACGGGTTGCGAGCCAAATTCAGGGGCTGGAAGTAACAGAACATCCAAAAGTGATGACAAAGACGGAGAAAATCGTGCCGTATTCGAGCTCAGAAGGAGGATGTGCTTTGCGACCGGAGGTGACTCAGTGGAGTGTACTGGAGAAGCCGGTGGCACTATCGCCAGTGGAAGAAGTAGCATAACCAGAACAAGTCGTAATACGGGAATCATCAGAAATGGATACGCAGATGCAATACCAAGTGGAGGAGTCACCAAATAAGGGAGAAGAGCCCATGTCAACTATTCTTCCTCGAAATGCATATGCCAAGAAAATTTGCAGTTCAAAGTTTTTCTACGAGGTGTGCAGATATGTGTTTGGCTTATAATTCTGGATTATATGTTTTTTTTTCATATAAAAACCTCCCGGATGATACATAACGTTTATTTTGGACTGTTTTATTTATACCTAAGTTGCAAGTTGTCAAACCTAAAAGTTTTGTTGCCTATGACAGTTATAAGATTACTCAGTATAACTTCATGTATCGCAGTTATAAACTCAGAACATCAGTTCATAAATTTCAAGAGTTTCGCGCTGAACCTTTAATCTAAGCCACCAAATGAAGTGGAGAAAAAGTTTGTGGATGAATTTGAGCAAAATTTTTCTGAATTCCAAGCACTTGGACTTTTCCTCCAATGATATTAAAAGAAGATCTTTCTTTGAAATCCTCACATGTTGGCCAAATTGTTCATTAGTTTGAATCAGTTTGAAGCTTCACAAAAGATGTTTACAAAAATAAATACGAGTCATTCGTGCACTAAGTAGAAATCTTTTCTCTTGTGCAGCAATCAAGCTCAAAGCATTAAACTGATTCAAACTAATGCAATGTTTGGCAAACATGTGAGGACTTCGAAAAAAAGATTTTTCTCTTAATATCTGTGGAGGAAAAATCCAATTGCTTGGAATATAACAAAAATTAACTCAAACTCACCCACAAATTTTTTTCCAACTTCATTTGGTGCTTTATATTGAAGTTTCAGCGCGAAACTGTTAAAATATACGAACTGAGTTTTTGAGCTTATACATGCGATACATAAAGTTATACTGAATAATCATATAACTGTCAAAAGCAACAAAACTTTTTAAGTTTCACAACTTTCAACATAGGTATAAATAAAAGCGTTTGAGTCGAGAATAAGACAGGCCAAAATAAACGTTATTGTATCATTCGGAAAATTTTTGTATAAAAAAACTCATAAGCCAGATTTTTTTTTGGTGTGCAGCTGTTTGTGTTTATTTGACAGCCGCATAAATTCGAAAAAGTATTGGGAATTCCAGACTGGCGCGACCGAAACTTGGCAATTGATGACCGGAGCGACAGAAAAAAAACCACTGCAGTCGACGCGACTCAAAACACCGTCGGGACCAGCGCGACCTAAGGAAATGGCGCTACCGCTGCGGCTGACAAATTTTGGCCGACATGCGCGACTGAGGATAAACGCCGCGACATGTGCGACTGAGCAAAATACCAAAAGACTTTTCTTGAGACGCGCCAGCAGACTTTTCTTAAATCGCGCCGCTTCAGTTTTTTCTTAAGTTGCGCCATCAGTTTTATCTTGTGTCGCTCCGTCAGTTTTTTCTTAAGTCGCGCCATCAGTTTTTTCAAGTCGCAGACCTCGACCCGGGTGAAAAAAAACCATTGAAATCAAAAATATGCGAGCCTTAATAACGATCCAATCACAGCTTTCAGTCAAAAATACTTCGTTGGGAAAAAATGGGAGTGAACAATTTGATAGAAAGGTTCCAAGCAATCAGAACCGTCTCAAAGCGTAACAAACTTGAATTTGCTAAAAGACTTGTGCAAAAAACGGGGCTTTTTTACTCTTCACTACTTGCAAATTTTCACTAACAAAATTTTTGTCCGCATTGTCCGATTGTTATGAAAATTGGCCGACTAATTAGGCTATGACAAACATTGTAAGTCATGATATTTAACCTTGTAATCCTTTCTTTAAATCGCAAAACTGATGCTTATGTGAGATGGGAATAAAGTTAATGCTAATCCTCAGAAGCCTGGCGGTGGGCATGGTATGTTTATAAACATTTCATGTCTCGGAACTGGCAAGCACCCATCACGAATCATCGGATGACTTCATCTGCGCATTTTGTAATTGGCTTTAACTTCCTGGAGTTTTCATATTTTTGTCGGGAGTGGGGTAATCGTTGGGGGGGGGGGGGGGGGTATGTAAAACTCAACACCCGTGTTGCCCACCATAGAAGATAATGCGCAACCATATACATCCATGCATGATTTGTATGGAAAATGACTAACCATGCGCGTAGCACATACATTTGTTTCGAAAACCCTCAAAATAACTTTTTGGTGGTTTAAATTAGTAATAAAACGATTTCTCATCGTTATGCAAGCTGTCGGTAAGGTCTTACCAGTTTCTTCGACAGAAGCATAAATAGACGAACTTTCCCCTTCATCTTGCTTTTCACTCTTCATATTCAGTTTCCCACTTGCAGAGACAAATTTAAAAGCCACCAAGTCCAAACTGCTGCTGTCTGCCGATTTCTCCTTCAACTTGGCCGTGGACGAGAGGTGTTTGGCAAGCATCGCTCGTTTGTGACTCGGGTCTATTTTGACGGGAACTCCTTTGTTCAGATTCGTCTGCTTCAGTGTAGCTTTTTTCACCTGAACTTTTTTAGTCGCTTTGAATTTCGGTTGACCTTTTTTCAAATTTAATGGAGCTGAAAACAAATGGCAACGTGTTCACCAGTTTTGGTCATGAATTTTTGCAAGATATTTTCAAATTTTGAAAAAAGAAACAATTCAAAAATATATTTTTCTTAAATTTATTCGACCAAATTGTATGTTAATACTGATAAAAGATGTTATCATCTGTCGGAGTTGGCATGAAAGATATCCTCCTAAAAATGAGTGATTTGTTCAGATTGAATTTTAAAATCGCGTAAAAAGCCAGAAAAATCGAAAAGTTAATAGACATTCACATTACTTACATTTAGGCTGTTGGCTTTTTACAATAGGATCATCATTCTCATAGAAGTTGTCATCTGGCAGCTTCGGCAAAGGTGCAAATACTGAAACAAAATACACGAATACTAAACTTCGAAAATCACGAATCAAAACTTTTCTCAATCAGGAGTGAGACAATTTTTAAAGAAAAAAAACTATTACATAAAAATATTGAAACGCTGTTCGGAAGAAAGGAAAATAAATAATTGCATGATAAACCGGTAGTAATATCTATACTATTTTAAGTTCCATTTTAAATTAGCAGAAAATTTTTACGGCAAATGTTAATAGTGTTTTGTATAAATTAGTTTTAATTGATATTACTCGTATGAACTTGGGGGTAATTTGGGTTGACCTTTTGGGGGTAACTTGGCCTTTGTTTTCTGTGAAGTGATCCAGGGCCGGGGTCCTTTGGGTCTATCTGGAGTCCCATCCTTGGAGTTCGTCTCAAAGTCCACTCTCTTTCGGGACCCAATGCTACCTGTAACAATTGATAACATTCAAACAACTCCTTGTACTTTTTTCAGAAAATGCGGTTCAATAACAGAGTCAAGAGCAAGTTTAAATTTTGTAGCTCACAAAAAACTAGAAACTCAGTGTTTTTTTTACTACTACATCATAAAAATAAGCTGCGTGTTAACGTTTGGTTTTCTTCATACAAAATAAGAAAACACGTGAATTAGCGACATATCACTAGCTCTCGGGTTTTCTTTTCTCAATTAAGAAATATAACAGTAAAAAAAGTTTCAACAGTAGAGTTTCATAGAAAATAAAAAATAGATTGGACTCTAATAGTCTGTCTCTCTAAAATTTGAAAACAATCGGTTACAATTGATTAAAAATGGACTTGAAATTAATAATTCTCAAAGAGAAAAAATCAATTCTCACTCGTTTAAATTTAATTATTATCAACCGATTTTTAAAGTCCATTTTTAACCAATTACGAAAACTTTATTCCCTTTTTCTAGTTTTTCAATATCTTTCAGCGAGCTGTTTTTATTTGTTTAAATTCTTTTTAAACTTAAGTTTAGTTATTTGATTCTCTCACTCAATCTTGCATGTTTCTTGAACTCAATAACATTTCTATGAAAAGTTACATTATCTTTTATAAATGCAGGAAATGGGGTTGTGGAGCGGTAAAAAAGGACGTGAAAGCTGCAAAAACAATGCGGCCTTAACGAGGCTACGTTCTGGAAAATCAAGCTGGGTAAAACACAAAGGTCAAGTTCAGGCCGCATAATTTAAAAAAAAACTAATTAACTGGTATGTAAGTCGCATGATTTGGAAGTAAACATTTCACATCTACAAAGAAATAACAATTTTCATGGATTTTATGAACAAAATATATCAAAAAATCGTTTACAATGAAAAAAAACGAAATATCATTGATATTATAATGATGGGCTATATTGGATTTTTATGATTTGGAAGAACGAATTATAATGGGTTAAAAAACCAATACACGGTCTTAAGTTTCCACGATAATTTTACTAAACAAATATCGAATTTAACCCATGAAACTTTCATACATTTTCATACTTTTCCGGACTGTTTTGTATTGGACTGTTTTGTATGGGTTTGTTTCCTACAGACACGGGCCACAGCTATACTTGAGAGAATGGTATTGAACAATCAGTAGGAGTACAGAATAGAAAAATTAAAAGATGCTTAAATTTAATTTTCAAAAGTTAATAAGGTTCAAAAGTTACATTGCTTAAGCAATCATCATTCTCACGCTGAACTCGATTACAGGTTGATGCTCAACTCCTACGGATCCCAAACCAACAGCGGGCGCAGGCATGTTGGCTTGAGGTACACCATGAAGTTTATGACTAACATTATCTACACAAAATCTATACAGCGCTATTAATTTTTATATCAATATATGTCATTTTTTGAACAATTCGTATCAAAGTTTTTTTAATATAGCAAGACATTTTCATATCTTTTTTATTTTGCGAAACAATCGATTGTTGATATAATTTTTTTACAATAGTTTTTGTTACTAAAGAAACTGAATATATTCTTAGACAGAATACACAAAATAAAATCCTTAAAACAAATGAGATCCGGTGAACGCAGATTAAAAAAATAGTTTGCATTCGAGCCTGAATTGTGTTCAATTGTATCCCGCATCGGAGTTCCATGGATAGTAATCAATTATTTTGAACTTTCGTGATCTGTCTCAATAAATTTCGATAAAAATGGATTATAATCGATTAAAAATGGATTATAATGAAACTATTTTTTTATTCAATAAAATCCGAATATAATCGATTATAATTGATTAGAATCTATTATTTTTGGAAAAAAAATGAAACTTGTTTTCGAGACAAAATAATCCATTATATTCAATTATAATCGATCATAATGGATTTTTTCGGGAGGCTAGTCATCAAATATACAATTTTTTTTCAAAGTTATCGGATTTCCTGTTTAGTGCAGTCGCTACGCATTAGGTTTTTAGGCTTCATAAAATGTTGCATTTCACTTCTCAATCTTTATAGTTTGGTCTTATATACCCTGTTTACCCTTCCCTGTCCCCCCCGTTTTCCTCCCCGTTTACACCGCCCACCCGTTTTCCTCCCTGTTTACACCCCCACCCACCTCCCTGCCAGTTTACCACTACCGCCACAGAAGACTTTGGGCTTTGGGGGAGGGGGAAGTATGACCCCCAGTTTCTACGCCCCCTCCCCAGTTTACCCCTCCTCAATTAACCCCGCCCCTCATCTTAGTTTAACCTCCCCCCCGTTAAATTTGCCACAATAATGGATTATAATGACAACATTTTATACAACATTTTTCCATTATAATCGATTATTATCCATGGAACTCCGGTGCGGGATTGCTAAACTGGTCAAAACAATTATAAATGACATCTGCAACCTCATCCAAATTGATTAAAAGCTTTTCATGCGCAGGTTTTGTAATAGCTACATTCAAGGGAATGACATCTGGGAAACATTGTTTGGTACTTTGCAAAATTTCGTAATTCGGATAAAAAAAGGAAAAAATTTCAATTTTGCGTTTTTTGGTTTGATTGTTTCTTTTTAAATTGATACCTATTTAGCTATAACCTAGTAAACTAACTAATTTTATTGAGTATAAAAACAAACTTGTAATTGAAAATTACCTAAGTTCGATACAATCGCTCGAAAGAGACATCACTCGAAAGGCTGAAGAGCCTATTTAAAGTTCTGCCAATTTGATGCTACTTTCATGGATAAGTGTTTAGAGCTATGACTTTGTCAATGTACCAAATTGAAAATAAGTTTATTATTACTGTAAAACCACATTAGCATCTCTTTTTTCACCAAAAACGAAATTTAAATTTACCTTGACGAGCTGAACTTTTCCCCCTTGATGATCTTCCTCCCCCTCCCCCTCCCCCAGCCCCTCCACCCTTGCCCCTTCTGTTAGTCCCCTTGCTGCCACCTCTCGAAGTGTTCACGCCACTACTCTTCGAACTCACTTCACTCCTCGACGACATCACGCGACTAAAGCGGTGTGAAATGATAAAACAGCTGGTGCAAATGTTCGAATATTTCCAAAATGAGCAAAAATTAAAAGCATAAAATTAAGAGCATAAAAGCTTTGAAAATCTAATTCAATCCAATATAAAATTTTGAGCTCTTAAACTTAAGACCAAAATGAAAAGTTAAGAATTGTTTTTAGGTCCCCAATATGGAACTTCTTCTCTGTATTTCATTGGCAACTATGATTCAATTCGGGAGGACGTGTATGGTTTGAACAAAAACGAGATCATGTAAACAATTAAATGAGCGATATCAGTTCAACACAAAAAAAACCTTCTCTCGTGGAAAAAAGGTCCCAATTTTAGCAGTCAAATTTCCATTGCTAGATTTGGCAAAAAAGTAAAACCTTTTAACTCAAGTGTCTGAAAATCTGATTAGAAATCTTGTCGTTATAATGCACTAACCGTTGTAAAAATTTTACCTCGAGTTCGTGTCACCTTTACTCGATCGTACAGAAGACGACTTCGGCGTCACAGTACCACTTTTGGTCGGACTTTTCCGTGCCGAAGATGGCTTCGACGCTCTCGGTTTTTCCAGTTTTTCAGACTTCTCTGCACTTTTTGCTACAGATTTGCTAGAATTTTTTCTCTGTGGAGATTTAATTGTAGACGTTGATTTAACTGTTGGTGATTTAATGGCCTGCGTTTTCGCTTTTGGATCCGGGTAAGACTTATTTTCCGTTGGTTTTTTACTACTATCAATCGAGTTTTTCGATCGAGGCGTTTGCTCTTTTTGTACTTTTTCAGCAACTTTCTTCGGACTTTTAGAGCGAGGTTTTCCCTTTTCGCCAGAAGCAGTTGTCGCCGTTGATATTTCAGCCTGTTTTGACGACTCAGAAACATCTTGTTCGAGTTCTTTGGTGGGTGTCGTGCTCTTAGATCTTCTTCCCCGTCTAAAAGGCAGGAACAAACATTTTATGCCAACTTAAGGCTTTTTTAATAAGGAGCAAGTCTGAAAGCTTACGACTTATTTTGTAAAACGCTCAACAATTTCTTGAAATTTTTGAAAAGAAAAAAGTGACGCAGAAATTTGAGAAAAAAACATTGTTCGACATTTCAAAAGTCAAAAAATATATATAGTACAAAAAAGTCAAGACCAAGTTAAACTCAAAAGAGGTTTGTTTTACATCAAGTCAAAACGTCTATATTTTAGCACCAAAGTTTGATTAAAAAAATAAGATATAGCGACAAAACATAGCCAACAGACTTGCCAACAGTTGAGACGTACCAACAGTTGAAAACATGTCAATAAAATTAGGAAATCCAAAAATGATTACAAAAAGGAAAAATTGTATGGCTTTAAAGTCTTTTTTATATGGCCATTTTTTATGAAATGCAGCCAATTCGAAAAAGCAACAAAATCACAAAAAAAAATTGTTCGGGATTAAAAGTCTGAAAAATATCGCTCGCCACAATTAGGCAAAAATCCAGGTTCGCTTGTTTCGGTCTCGAAATTAGTCTGAACCCAAAAAACGTATTGTCATTTTCTTGAATAGTAAACCTAAACGGCATTTTTTTCTTTTTACTTTTGTTGAATTTTTTTGTTATTTCATGTTTATCTGAATGTGTTTGTGCCTGCTAGGAACAAATGTCTTGTTAGGGGGTATGGTGACGATGTTTCGGATGTATCTGATCTTCCGCTTGGATTTCTTCGGCTGCACAGCTTTTAGAGTAGAACTTTTAGTCGGTTTCTCAATTCTGCTTCGCTCTAAAACAGCTGAAACAGTTGATGTTGGAATACTTCAAATATCAACGGCGGATCAAAATTTTGAGCAAAGATCAATTTTTGATAAACTTTCTTGCTAGTTCTTATAACCAAACAATAGTTGTCAAGGATTATTATCGGAGAAGTAGGGATTTTTTTGGAAAATTTAGAAGATTACTAGACTAAAACCCTGCCCGACACATGAATTGACCTTGTTTGACCTATGTATTGACTTTGGTCGACTGCAAGTATTGTGAACCGTTATAACTTGGGTCGATAATGAGATCTACCAATTCGGTCGATACATAATTCAACTACCTCCATCCGGTAAACAGTAAACAAACCACTTGGCTGAGTTTTTAAGGATCTTTTTAATTATATCCCCCTCGGGTACCTAGTAACGAATATCCCCCTATAAAGAAATGTATCAACGGTTAAACATATCAGAATTTTACACCTAGTAACGAATAACACCCTTTTTGCAAAAGGGAGGATCATAGTTAAAGAGATCTGTTTTTAAGAGAATAATAATTTTTCTGCGCTTTTCGACTATTTTTTCTCTGTGATAATGTTTTTGGGTAATATAAATGCTGAAAATTCGTTTATCTTACCTTTCTTCAACTTGAACTTCGAGCAGAATTTGATTTCTGCAGGCTTTTCAAACTTGACGTCATTGTAATACAGCAGCATGTCCATGTCGTCTTGAATCAGGTACTGAGGTCTTTCTAAACTGGACCAACTGACCAAGGTCAGAGGTCGCAACATTGAACCCTCGTCGAACCCAATCGCTGCTGACCCCGAAGCAGAAGCGTCACTAGCCGAAATGCGCTTCACAAACTGCTGCGCTTTGGCTTTCGAATAGCGTCGAAGAAAACCTGCCGGGAAAATAGAACAACACAGTAATTAAGGACTAAAATTGCATCTGCCCCCAAAAAAAGAGTTAAGGAGGAGAATTTTAAGTTGGTTCTAATCTAAAATTTTCTGCCAATCATTGCAGAGTATTTTGCAAGCGGCGAAGATCCATTTTTATTGAAAAAATCAATCAATGAAACCAAATATCTCTACCTAAATCCATTATACCTTAATCTAAGAAGAAAAAAGCAACGTAATTTGCTAAAATAAACTATGTTGCGATGAAATCCTAAATCCGATTTCGTATTTCACTAACCTGCATTTGGTGGTAAATGTCTCGGCTTTTGAAACCGAGCTAAGTTCTCGTAATTCGAACTATTATCAATTACAGTATATGTATCGAGAGGTCTTTTCAGATCCCAGGGGTTCGCTTTAGCCGAAATCTCGTGAAGCGTCAAAATTGTTGTGCTACTCAAGGAGTTCGTGTCTTGATGGACGTCCAATTTTGGAATTACTGATCCAATTTGTTTCGGCTTATTGCACTTAGGCGATTGAACAGCGATCAAAATATCCCACTGAACGTTCGGCCGAACCTCTTTGACCTTTTCAGAGTCGCTATCCAATGGTGAAAGGTCAAGTTTGGGAACTAAAGGTTCAATGTCCTTTTGAAGACGTTTCGAACAGAAGAATGGATCGCTTGCTGTTAATGGTTTTGAGTTAAGTTTTCGAAATTTATGCTTATGGTCCCCGCAACGATAATTCGTCTTACTTGAATCGTCGGCGAATGGACCTTGATTGCCGATTTTGTTGTAGTGATAACTTCTGCAAGCAATGCAATCATTGCTATCAAGACTCGAATTACCTTCGTTTTTATGAACCAGAAGGTTACTTTTGCCCTGATAAATCGGTTCGCATGAACTAGTTTCGCTTTTGGCTCCAATTGGAATCGGAAACACTTTTCCAGACCCACTTGAATTGAAAACACCACCGACGAAATACGATTTTTCATTCGTATGGTAAGAGTTGAACATTGTTGAGTCCAATTCAGATTTAGAACACACGTTCGACGTTGTTGCATAATTATTTGTATCGTCGTCAACTTTTGACCTTTTCTCATTAAAAGCGAAACTTTTTAGGTCTGTTTTGTTGAAATTTGATTTCATTATATCAGCGGAAGCCGAAAAAGTAGTATCGCAGCCAACGTCGGAAATATAGCTAGAATTGAGTCTAAGGTCTAATGAGTTCAACTGATCTTTGGCGGATTTTATTTCAGTCGCAATCGTTAAACTTGAGTTTAAACTTGACTGAGGTCTTGAAACGTTCATATAGTTTCGAACTAAATCAGGTTCCGAAAACGCCGAACTTTGTTTGTTTTTCGTGAAGCTTGAAATGTTGTTTTGAGACGAAAATCCGTTTACGTTTGGTCGACTTTTACTCAAAGTGGAAACTCCAAATCCGTGGTTCAGACTCGAGTAAGAACTGCTTCTGCTGCGTTCTTTTGATGACGATGACGAGCTTCGTGGCTGTATTTCCATTTTTGGACTATTGTTCACATCGTCAAAACCCGAACTAACACTCGTGTTGCTTTTCCAATCGTGTGCCGACTTCGAAAAGCTCAGCGAACTTCTCTCACTGACGTTCGGGCGGCTCAAATAGCCGACGTGGCTCTTTGCCGAATTTAAATTTTCAGAAACCCCTAAACCATGTCTAGTAAAGTCGTTGAATTGAAAGTTCTTGGAAATTGCGTAATCGGACTTCATTACGTCATAAGATGACTCATCGATGTCTTTTTCGACTTCAGGCGGCTCTTGCTCCTCTTTGATCTGTTCCAGTTGTTGCGAGACATCATTTAAGTCGAGACCGAATGACCTTGAGCTAGCTGTCAAAGTGTTCAGCACAGGGTTGATGGTAAGCAATGGTTCCTTTTGCACAAAGTGAGATTTAACTTCGGGTTGAGTTACTGAGGAAGATTTTGAAATTTCAGTTTTAACGACATTTTTTTTCCTTCCCGAGGAAGTTGCATTCGCTTCTTTGACTACTAGTTTGGACAAAGATTTATCATGAGATCCTTTCCCAGCTGTCGATCTGAAACAGATGTTTTATACACATCTTAAGAAACTACAGATCTTGAACGAGCTCAACTGAACTATATCAAGAATATTGCATCAAGATCTGTAGCACATTTTTTGTTCCGTCAATTGAAAATGGGGCAAATCTTTGTATTCGGTTGTTTTATTTAAAAAATTTTCTCCACGCAAAATCAGGTACCAGAAATATTAATCGGACTGGATTGAGTGATATATCATATAAAAGCGCTTTCAGTCGTGATTCGAAAGAACAACCAGCGAACACATAAGTTCCACGACAGAACTCTCTCTCTTCCAAGGCCCTTGCAAAAAGAACGGTATCAGAATAAACACAAAGTTTATAGCAAAAGTTATTTTTATCATTTTGTTATTAAAGTTTAAAATCACAGCAACTTGACAAATAGATTAACTTTTAACATGACAATAGAAAGCAAAATTCTCGACAAGTTGTTTCATTGATTTAATTGAAAACTTTCAAAAGTTCATGTTCGGTTAGAGAATTGCTTGGTTCGTCTTCAATTTACGTTTTATGAATAGGGTTTGATATCCAAGGTTGAATCGCAAAGCTGGTCTTATTAATTTTTTTTAAAAACAAATTGTTTTTACTGCAACAAAAACAATTGGCCGGTATTGGCAAGTAGAGAAAGGCTTTGCTTAGCTCTGCGTGAATCTGTGGGGGTGTCGCCAAAGTAAAATTGCCAAGTTTTGGTTCTCAGCTTTTCTGTGGTTCCTGGAATTTTTTCCCTCCGAAATACTCGATACACTGAAATACTCTATAAAAATTGTGTATCAAATTTTCATTTTTGCGGTAGAAACGAACTCTGGTTTGCAATTTTTTAAACAAGTGTCGGTTTCATGATATTTTAGCGCTCGCTCGACTAGCTGAGTTTGTCTAATTCTTTCAAAAAAGGGGTTTATTGGTCGAACGCATTTTAATGTAGACGTCTAGCTTGACTCAGATATCGTGGCAGAATTTAATGGCAGCCTAAATGGCACAAAAGATAATCAATCATCTACTGCACAAAATAGTGAACTTCGAAATTTTCTCGAGAAATTTTCTCAGTTTAGTTATACTGTAGAGTGTTTTCAACTTTTTTTTTGGTCTGGTGGGGAGGATTGTTTTCTATTATTTTCTGTTTTTCTGCTCTTGGACCCATTCTGTTTATTGACAGGCCACCGTCTGGCGGGTTTGTGGTAATATTTTTCTCTCACTAGCTGATAAATTTCGTTCGAATCTTGAGTTAATAAAAAATAACCAGGCACAAATTGAGTTTAGCACATGAGAGCTTAGCATAGATTTCACAAAAATAGTCAACAAACTCAAAGGCACTAGCTATCTATTTTCTAGTTTTATTCCTCTTTGTAAAATTACAGAAAAAAAACAGAAAAAAGCAACTCAAATTTAATTTAAGCAAAAGAATCTGTCAATAGATGTTCAGAAACAAAGCAAAAAAGCAAACGGGTAAAAACCAAAGATTCAAATGGATTATATGGTCATTTTTTATTTCATTGGTGTCTAGAATTTACGCAGACAAAATTTTTTAACTGTTCAAGTGCTAAAAAAAATTAAAAATTGTCTCCGATTGAACATTTTGTGTGCCGTTTTGAAATTTTTGGTCAAACAAAATAGAAACTGTCATTACACCGTAACCAGTAGTACTTTTCGTAGTTTAATTTTTAATCGATTTCTACCACGCTTAAATTAGGAAAATCGAAAATTTAGAATGCTGTAATTTAAATTTTGCTCAACAACATCCATTACGACCTTGAAAAATATAAAAAAGACATACTGCATTAAAAAGAACATGCAACAGATATGAAAATAAAGTACATTTAATCCTTTTTAGTAATAGTTCATTGTTGACTTGAATTTTATGTGATACAACTTTGTAAAAAGGTCCCTCTTAAAAACTTTTTTGACCAAGATTTTTTTTCCAACATCACCCTAAATGAAAGCAAATATAGCAAAAGTTGGGAATCAGGACCACGCTTGGTAGTTTTCAAGAATTTTATAAAACATAAATAACCTGCCTGTTTGAGCTAACTCATTTGTAGCTTCGAGTAACATCAACAAAGCAATAAAATGATGAGGGACCGTTTTTTTAACAGACCGGTTTTTAAACATAAAAATTGAAATATTAGTTTATTAGCATAATTTGATTGTCAAACGAAGCGGCCGCTTTTTGTCAATTTTACGGTTGAAGTTAGCGTTCTAATTTGTAAATTGGTTGAAGAATGCAAAAAAAACTCGTCAGCTAAAAAAAATTCTGCTAAAAAACTTAACGCCAAATTGAGAAGTTGAGGCACTGTATTTCGCATTAAGGGCCCTCTTAGTTTCTTAAGATACCTCTATTGCGGAGTGCGATTTCTTTTTAAACAAGCGCGTATTCCTAATTGTCACTAAGCAGGCAATTACTGTATTAATCAATAAGAATCGAGATGAGAAAGCAAACTATCAAAATAAACAACTATTATTTATTAATTTCTTCCTTGTCTCGGTTCTGATTGGTTTACACAGTATTTGTAGGAATACGCGGTTGTCTAAATACTGCTACGTAACCCTCTATTACATTTTCATCCTATGTTTTAACAGTTTCTCGGTTTGGCAGGTCATACAGTTTTTATATGTAGAAAATCCACCAATTCCTACGAGTTTATACGTACGGAAACTTGCATGATAATATTTCTTTCATTCTTGGAATTATATCGCTCTCAGTTTTCCATAGTAGAAAATCCAAGCTTTTTTGATTGCTGCTTCGAAACTTGGATTTGAATCATAATAAATTCAATATTAAATCAATAGGTAACCATTTCATTCCACTGAGAAATCTGAAAACTCAAAAACATTTTCGAAACTATATATCGCTCGTTTTTCATTTAAACTTTTGCTGTTCGACAGTGGAGTTTACCTTCTTTTAAACAAAGGAAAAAACTGAAATAAAAAAATCAAACCTTAAAAAATCAATTTTGAGCGTGAACTACTTTTAAGATTTTTCCAAAAAAAAACCAGAGCAAAAAAATCATAAGACCTATTCAAGAGTCTTCACTACGTTCATTATCTTTTTTAAAAAAAGTTCTCGTTCATGAATAAAAAAACTTGGAGGTATTTGTTTGGTGAATTGCCTAAAACTTCTGCCTCGACTTCGTTATGGACAAAAAAGGCAGTTTTTACCGCATAAATTTTCTTTTCCTTTTCAACACTTTCCCTCAATTTTTTTCTTTTTTGATCACAAAGGTTAGCTTGCAATCAAAAAAGAGAACATAGTTTTCTTGTACAAGTTTGGATGTTTTGGTTGAAAAGTAGTTCATCATAGCTTTCTCCATTATGAAATTAATTCTCAATAAAAATATTGTAAAAATGTGGTCATTATGATCCATCATTATATTCCATAGTTGTATAAACCGTCCATCATTAAAATCCATTATGATGGGTTATAATTAATTTAAATTTCATTATGATTGATTTTACTGGATTATAATTTCCATATAATTTTTGCAAAAATGTTGTTTTAGCTCAGAACAACTTCTTCATCACTCACATCACAACATCTCCTGGCCAATCATTAGGAAGAATGGTCTAAAAGCAGAATGGCTCTAAGAGTAGAAAGTAGATTGTAAGTTACTTTAATTGTAACTAAAATTGAAGTGGAGTTTGAACTTTCAATTGTAATAGAAGAATTAAAATTTTAACTGATCATTTCTACTGAATGATGAAACTCTTAATTGTGAAGTCAAAAGAAATCTAATTTGTGAAAATTTCAATCTCAAAAAAAATAAAAAACAGAAAGATATTCAATATTACAAAATTGTAAACCCAAGTTGCTCGTCCAAACTTTCCTGCCCTCAAAAATGTTCGAAGATATAAAGCTTGAAAAATCGTGGACAATGACTCGGAATCGTCAAATACCAAACAGGGTCCTGATTTTTGGTAACTTTTGATGATT